ATATCCAACCTTCCTGGGTAGATGTCACAAGAGCCGCTGGACCCATTCTCCTCAAACTCGGTCGTGAAACAAAATGGCGGTGTTTTGGAGCTATTTTCCAGATTTCGTCGTGGCACAGAAAATCGAGGATTTAACAGAATTCAAAAATTTTTTCGCGGAACTATTTCAAATAATAAGTAGATTCGTTCTAGCGAAAAAAAATTTGGGGGGTTAGGTGCACTTTAAACAACACATGGGTGATTTGTTGTCATATGAATACTGACAAACTTACCACTACAAAAATAATTGGATGAGAAAGATTTACTTCCTTCGACATTTAAATCAGCCGTTTTTAGCAGTCGAATTTTGCAAATGACAGTTAGCAGTATTGTTCAGATAGTTGTTTTGCTTTTGAAACATTTCTACAGCGCCTGTCTGTGAAGAAGTCTCGACAGTTTTTACAATGACCTTTTGTGGTCTCGATATTTTTCCAAGGAAGTCTCAAAGAAACACTTTTGGTTAGTGAAAAACATTTTTGGCTAGTAACATCTAAGTTGTCACAAGCCACTAGGCTAGTAAGTTGAAAAGTTAGTGTCAAGCCCTATTAACATTTTCCCTATTTTTCTGCTGTCACAAAGAGTAAAGTGAGTGGTTCAAATATAAACATTCTCACACACCAATGCGCCGAACCACGCAGCCTGATGTTTATTAACAATACAACATAGCTGTCTTGCAATGACACAAAAAAGTGGCTAGAGAACAATCTCACTTCAACTTAACACATTCTAAAAATACTTCACAGGTGGGTGGGGCACGTCGGGCAATGGCGGACAGCAAAACAAAAACTTAACCTTACACAAGCCATGTGACCTGACCCCCCACACACTTGTACTCAGACTCTCAGCCATGTGTGAGAAAAACGTTTTCCACTTCTTTCGTTCCTCGGCCAGCGGGAAACCACACTTTCTAAAAGCAGATAATTTAAGGAATCATGGGGTTTATTGAAGGTCTTCCTGTTCCTAAACGAATACCGGGACCACACATTTTATTTCAAAATTTACAGTGCATTTACTGAAACCAGGGCTACCCAGACAATGAAAACCAATCAGATGGCAGAACTGGAACAGCATTTTCAAATCCAGCCAATCAAATGTCCGGTACAAAACAATGAAATCTCAACTAATTCGTTGAGATGCTAATGCAATTAAGGTGTCGCTCAATAAATTGTCAAGCTCAAGCCGTTAGTAGTTTCGGGTGCTTGCAGCCATGCTTGCGGGTTTAAGATAAATTACATGCTGCACTTTCTATGGGGTCGTTGGTTGGTTGGAAAATACATGAAAAGAAAAGCTGCGTAAGAGTGTCACTCATAAATATTTATATCGCCAGCAGAGTGAGTGGTGTAGGGCTTGAATATTGTCGTGGCTGTTTAAAAGAAACCCTTCAAATGGTCTCTAGGTAGTTGCGCATGTGCACAGGTTTGAAATGTACGAATTGGAAAGGGAAGTAACTGAAAGAAGCTGGAAGCAAACTTCAAGCGGAAGAAATGAAAAGTTAACTTGATACAAAAATGGACTTGCAACCTGAATTCTTTGTTAAAATATCTTTGATTTTTCCATCCAGGGGATGAGGTTCCTATGCATGGCGCTATAATCTTTTGTTTTTGAGTGAGTGATTTTACCCATTGAGGCTTTGATACTACAAAGCGGAAAAAAATTCATTTGAATTTTCCATGAAGATGTTATTTCAATACACTGATAACCTAGAAAGGGAACTCAAACTCCGAAATGTACAGCTGCTGAGACAATGAACATGATGGGTTTTCCAAGAACTGCGTGGTGGATAACCGAAAGCCTTGTAAAAATAAAAACATGCACAGACAACAGAAGCGGAATCTATTTTGTAAAAAGAACTGTCAAAATCTATTATCCTACGATTTTAAACAACAACCGTAAAAGTGAGGACATATGATCACAGTGGAAAACGGTCAATCTAATGAGTTTACCATGCTTGTCAATGTAAAATCTGAAGTACAGTAACACAATATTTTCTAACACGAAGGTACTAACCGCTTGAGCTTGACAATTTATTAACAGACAACATAGTTGGGTAAGCATCACAATGAATAAGTTGAGATTTCATTGTTTTGTACCGGACATTTCATTGGCTGGATTTGAAAATGTTGCAATCTATTGTTTCAGTTCTGCCGTCTGATTGGCTTTCACTGTCTGGGTGGCCCTGGTTTCAGTTAACGCACTGTAACTTCTCTTCATATAAGCAGCCAAGCATTAATGATCCTTTTTTGAGACCTGGTCTGAGCTGCCACTAACGATACTACATTTAGGAAATAACACACTGGCTGTGGGTAAAATTTGGGTGGCAGGGAAGGATGACTGGGGAGTAGGGGCCCAGGAAGGGGGCCCATCTGGGGGAGTACAGATTGGGTGGTACCAGGGATAGCCACCCTGGAATAAAAGTTCCAGACCCCCCTCCAGGGGTGAGGCCCATATCCCACAGTCCCGGGGCACTGAGGGAACCAGGAGGGGAAGCCCCTCCTGAGTGGAGTACAGATCAGGTGGTACTGGGGGTAGCCACCTTGGAATAGGTAATTTCTCCGGACCTGTCTCCAGTGGGCTAGAGCCTTACTGTGGGGTAAAGTGCAGCTAATGATGCACTTCCCTGCCACAGTTCTTTATTGACAAACGACAGAAAGTCACCAAAATACAAAGTCCCTGTTCATTGCACTCTGAATGACAAGGTCTAAGGCTTGCTAAGAGATAGATAGCCGTAGCCTATAACCATTGATGGTATAATTTTTTTATTTTATATATATACAAATGATATCTACAAGTATATATGGATATACGTTTTTCTAAACGTAACGGAATAGTAATGTTCAGTATATCTATCCATGACGTTCTGAGTTGTAGTGTCAAAGCTTGCCCTTTTTTTTGTTTATTGTTTTGTTGGGAAAGACAAAGTATTAGCCTTATTCATGGCGAACATTTCTATAGATCTAAATGATTTTGTTTATTCGCTTAAAGATACTCCTAAAGCGTAGTATCAGGGGTTAAAATGTGTAGAGCAAAGATTCCAGNTTAGTGGCGAAGGATTGGCACAAACAAGAAGACTGAATACAACAAGGAGCGTGTGCTTGACTAGAGGTCATGGACATGAAGTGGACACATGAGAGACGTGACTGGAACCATTGATACACTGTCTTTTCCAGATGTAGAGTGGCCTTACTTAGGAAATGAAAGGTTTGTTGTGATATCTAAAGGGGGTGATTGTTTTCAACTGGAATCCTTGATGGACTTTGAGATCAGGAATTGGTGGCATGTTACTCATGTTACTGGGATTTACCTATGAGCGTGACAAGAGGTTCATAGTGTTACATGTCTCTGAAATAAAGTGTTACAATGCAGAATGTGTGTGCCTGTCTTTGAGATATTGTCTCTCAGGTCTCCTTAACATCAGTTTATGGATGCCATAAACTTAAACTATAGTAAAAATAATTTCTTGCGCAGGACTGTGTAACCAAATTTTTGGTATTGTGAATAACAGCTCCCTAGTAGGCAACATATTACAACTGCTGTTCTCACAACTTTCTTCGTAACACTGTGAACTTCCTTCTGCAGTGATTAACTCACACTGATTTTACTGACCATGTTTTTATCAGGCTGAAGTTAAGAACCTACTTTAGACCACATCCGAAATGTTCGCAAAAGCAATAAGCAAAATGAAAAACACTCAAGTTGCCTGCCCAATATTGCATGCATGGCAACTTTTCACTTCTTCCACCTGTTGAATGCCCTGCACTTGTACACAGTTTTAAGAATTTGTTGTTTTCCCACATAATTTTCTTTCTTTAAATATACAAAGTAGACTCCAAATGCTTGCACAGGTGAAAATGCAATTTTGCACATTTAATGTTCATTAACGCGAAGGATGACAACAGTCTTAAGCCAAATCAGCATCTTGGTGTCCACACCCACTTTTTCGAGAAACTTATAATTTTTTCACAAGCTTCCCAGTTTAAAAACTCTGACTTAAAGCCTGGTTGACACTCTGGTCCGTATTCAAAAGTCTGTTACTGTAAAATAACCAACTAACATACTCATTATGAAATAATTACAAACAAAGATAACAGAAATGACAAATTTACAGTAGATGGGTAATTACCTGTTGGACAAAAGAGAAAGCTTGGGCATCTCAAGTGTTTGTATATGTTATTGGTGATTTCCACCTGAGCATCTCCAAATGAAGTAAATGCTTCAAGATCAGCACCATGAAGCTGTGGGTCAATGTCGTCAAATAACAAGGCGAATGCCACACATCCAAGCTTTTGTACCTGAGATGAGATAAGCACATCAATGCAGGTGAGTTGTTAATCATCATATAAAGCCTAAGTAAATCTAAAACACCATATAAACTGGACTCAAATAAATGATGTACAATTCACAACTAGTAGAAGTTACTTTATGAGAATGTTTAAATCAAAGACCGGCAACTTCAATGAGAAAAGTCCTTCACATACATTGCACACTCAATAATTTAAGACATAACATAAAAAAAAAACATACAGTTAATATCATATCTGTAGACATTTTAATCTACGTACTTTGGACTGGTACTTCTACATAGGTTTGTTGGCTGAGTGAATTAAAATAAAACAATTTCTACCTGATCCATTTTCTTTTTGAGCAGCTGAACATCTCTTGAATTTGAAAACAAAATATCAAGACCAGGTGACAAGGCATAGTAAAATGTTATTCCACACTCCTTTGATGATGCAATGAGCTGCTTCAAATTTTCTGTCGAGAGAATGTAATTAACAATGCCATTAACTCAGAAGTGAAACAATAAGACAAGTTATGTCTCACTACATAGCATGACAACAAACTAAGTTGAGTTCTTTTCACTTGATAGCTTCCATAGTACTTTTTGAAGAAAACAGAATTTAACATCATAGAATGCAAGTTTTCAAGTTAAAATTTTTTTCATGTGGAAGATCTACGTAGTGGGTAGGCAGTGATTTTTGGATGACTAAGTCAGTAATTGAATCTGGACTAAATCAAAGGACCATCTAGAAACTACTTCAACTGTCAACCCCTCTTCCCTGGCAAAATTTCAAGGGTCTTAACACTTAATGACTAGTCCCTTAAGAAACCAGCTAATATTTTAGTTCCCTCAAATCTCAATGATTTCCTCTGCTCAATTGCGGACACTAAAATTTTAGAGGAGAAAAATTATCTTGGGACCAGTCATAAACCCTCCTGGTCTAATTTACCTGTTTCTTCTGGACTGTAAAGGTCCCTCCATAGGGCTCTGTGTTTGAGGTCATCTTTGGGAGCATATAAGTAAGTATTCATCCCCAGGTTCTTTAATCTAGTGCAGAAATTAGAAAAGTGCATGAAGTCCTATTACATGAATCTTTAATACTGAGCTCCTAATGTACGCCTAAGAAGCCCTATCCAACATCCTCCATTCTCTTTTTAACCCCCCTCCTCCTCTTGCAAAAATGTACAACTCTTACAACTCCAATTTCATTGAAAATATAAACTGATACTGCCAAGGTTTTAATAAATAAAATGGATGACTCAGGTTGCTTGAAAGACATGACAAGAACTTGACAAATAAAGAGCTAAGTAAAACTAAAAGTTGCTTTCAAGCTCTCGAAGTACCTGCCTGTTGCTAGCTTATTGTTCGATTATTGTATATGGCAAGAAACAGCAAAAACATCTTGTGTTTTGCTTTTATGAAATGATTACAATACTGGTAAGCAAGTGACCAGAAAAATTCTTACATAAAAGTCTGTCTCTCAATTTGCCTCAATTCAGAAAATAATAGATACAAATTTGTGCGTGTATAATTAATTTCAAATCACTCTAACCCTGTAAATCAACCCACGGAACGGCAAAACTCCATCAAATAAGTTTGGCCATAGTTGATTATGAAGCAGCAGTGCTAAGGGTCATCTCATCACAAACATAAGCCTGAAAAGCAAGTCAAGTTCTGGACAACTGTCCAATACTGGTATGCTTACCCCCCAAACCCAGACATAGTACAATCTCACCCAAAACACAGCTATTTATACCTCGCTACTTGAATAAATTGCTGTCCCTTATGAATTGATGCAATCCTTGTTTTTCAAAGAAAATTTACCCTCATAAGCTAATGAACTCCGATCCAAACCCTTGCGAGTGCAGGTTCTGACATCCCATAGTTTCTTCGAAAGAAGCTTAGGTATCAAACACGACTTCAATGATGTGTACACCGTTTTTTTACCTCAAGAACAACTCCTTTCGCTGTTCAAATGTCCACGGTCTTCCATAGAAACCTGTTATCAATTGAAAGTGGAAAATAGGTCATTTAACCGTCATAAATGAACGCCTTTGTGGTACATGAGCTTTTGTGCAGTGGGCTCGTAAGGAAACTCGAGGTGCCTTTTCGTTAAAAAACCGCTTATTACCTTCAACTACCCCGCTTAGAAAAACTTCAGTTTTATCTTTAGATGAATCTGAAGTCATTGCATCCCTTTTCTTTAATCCTACGCGAAGTTTCAGTTTTGAATTCTTGAGAATACGAACTCGACCAGATAACGCCTTCATTAGTAAACCAGTCGCTCTCGCAAATTCGGATTATGCGCAGTTTCACGAACAAGCAGGCTTTTCCGGTTTTCATAAACTCCCGCGAACTTCGCGCGCAATCCCCGCGCAACCTCGATCGAAGGTATTTCAAAATGGCACACGAACACACGGTTATTCCAAACAACTGTGTTTCAGAGATTAAAATCCCAAGAAGAGTGAGAAGCGCAAATGGAGTTGATTACAACCCAGCTTTGGGTTTGTATGCCACTTTCAATTATAATGAAGGAGTTTCGGTGTGGAATCCAAAGAGTGGGAAAGTGGTAGCTGAATTCGAAGGGTTTGGCGAGAACTTCCGTGACACCTTGTTTGTACCAGGTGATCGTATTGCGGTCAGTTCATCAGAAGCACACCATGGGGGAGCAGTTGAAGTCTTCAATCTTGATAAAGACAAATGTAATTCAGCTGAATCTGCAAAAGAAGACTACGGCGACGAAGACAGAGGAGACGAAGATGAAGATGAAGATGAAGACCAAGACGAAGACGAAGATGCCAAGTCACGTGAATTGGTGATAGAAGACAAATATCTCACGATGACTTACCCGGGACCGATCGCTTTGTCTCCAAGGAGGAATCTTCTTGTCACAGATGCATTTAATGGTGGGGAGGGTGTTTATGAAATCTTTGTAGACTGGGATAATTTAAAGGTCCTCAAATCCAGAGAAATTATTCCTGGAGACGAGGAAGCTGAAAGTGGAATTATATTACTATGCTGTTCTCCGGATTTCAAGGTTGCGACGTTTTCTGATTGCCCACCCATTTTATCAAGTGTGAAAGTGTGCATGAACTCAGAAGAGGAGGTACAGATCCAGGAACAAGAGAAAATCACGTATTACAGGCTTAATGGGCAAGAACACCAGATTGATGAGGGCATAGTTGGACTTGTCCATGATGGAGAAAATCTAATCATTGCAAATGAAAGTAAAATTGTGTTGCTTGAGTCAATGACAGAAGGTAGCAATGCACATCTGGTGGCATCAGATGTCAAACCTACAGGGCAAATGAGAATAAACCATGACGGACAGCTCATTGTCTGCGAAGAAAGCGTTCTAAAGTTGTTCGAATACAAGTGTAACCCAAGGCCCCTTCAAGACTTATGCCGATGCCATGTCAGAAAAACAATTTGGACTGGTTATATTGATAAAATAAATAGCTTAGAAATTCCATCAGTGCTGAAAAACTTTCTGCTTTTCAAGTAAAACTTAGGCCTTAAGCTTATGCAATTTACTCTGATAGAACTATAAAGCGGTATATATCACAAATGAGGAGACAGACAGCAAGGCTCTGGTCTAAGAAAAATTAAGAGAAGCCCCAAAGTTCCTAACCATGAAATCCTGAATGCCCAGCAATTAAGCTTATATATGAAAAAAGCAAGTTTTTCCAGTCACCCAAAGGCAAAAGTTAGTTGCCTGTGCACCCAGGTGCTTCTAGAGCACAACTCTGGAAAGGCAGGGGGGGAGGTGAATTCAACAAAAGTTTGGGTTTTAATGTAACCCAAATCCAGAAACCCATCTGCATTCACTGTAAAAAAAAAAGAAAAAAAAAAATACCTGCAGCACATAATAGTCTGTTTACAGGGTATCTTTTATTATCTATCCTTATTCTTAAAAATGGAAATTTTGTTGATGGTTTTTCTTAAACTATCAGGTTAACTATTGATCCATTCATCAACAAAACAAAGAAAATTAGATTATTCGCTCTCGATTTCTATTGCTTGATAGTTAACAAGGGCGCTGCCCGAGTCAACCATCATGCATAGAAATCAAGAGGGAATAATCTAATTGTTTTCTGCTAGTCGTTCAAAACTTTATCTAAATCCTCTTTACTGACACTTGAAAACGCTAAGAAGCGGCCGTCATTTTGTTAACAAGCATACACTGCTACCTTACTCACTATCTATCACAGAATAGATAGTGAGTAGCATAGCCAATTAGAGAACAGCATTCATGATAGAATGCTAGTAGATTTATACTAAAAATAAATACACATTGAGAGTCATTTTATCTTGAAATATGCTCGCCTACACTTCGATGTCTGAAAGATATAAGGATTGAATATACCATCAAAAATGCACACCTGATACAAATTGTGTTTATATTATTTTATTTTTTCCCAACTATCAATACTAATGTAGTACAGTTCAAGCTGAACTTCTAAATAAAAATAAATAAATATAGCCAGATCTTCTCATTAATAATATTGTCTTTGAATAATTTTGTGCTGGAAAAAAGAAAAAAAAAATTCAGACCCTGCAAATATCTACAAAAGGCATCATCACATAACTTGAACATCATGATTCTGTTACAATAATGGCTAATAATGGAAAGTTTGCCAATCCTGGTCAGTGTAAAATGCAGGCTGCAGACCAAGGGTAAAATGCAGACTCCAGACCAGGGGTAAATTCCAGACTGCAGACTACAGTTCTACTCAAAGTGTAGAATCCCCCGGGCCAGGGGGGGGGGGGGTACTCCCTTATATGAGCTATATAGGTATGTGCAGCTCCAAAGGGTGTGGTTTCAGCCGTTTTGGTCATAAATAGGGTATAGATTCTAGCTGACTTTGATCATAAATAGGGTATGGTTTTTGCACTCTGGCCTTCATATTGGTAAGTTTTTAAGAAGAAGCCACTTTTTCATCATTTTCGAAAAGAAAAACAACAAAAGCCCTTCACAAATTATGTTTATGGTAACTTAACATTGGTCTGAACCAGGGAACCAATCATAATGCAGGTCTGAAACAGGATTTTGATTTAAGGGTCAGGTCATAAATAGGGTTTCGAATTTTTGGTCAAGTCATAAATGGGGTAGGGAATATCAGGCTAACTGCAGTGTAAGTCTGCTGGTTGGCCTGAATATCACTCTGCTTAGACTTAATATCACTTTGGTTAGCCTGAATATCACTCAGGTTAGCCCAAATAATGCTCCAGCTAGCCTGTTTACGCTTAGCTTTTAATGATGGAAATGGTAACATACATGATTCAGTTAAAAAGTCTGTAGTCCGCAGTCTGCAGTTTACCCTCAGTCTGCATTTTAGCCCCAGGCAGCAGTCCAGAGTCTGCGTTTCACACTGACCGGGCCAACTCTGTTGTAACATGACGGCACTTTATATTTTTATAGGTCTATTACGTCCCTAAATGGAAAGTTAAATCTTGAAATTTAGATGCAATCAAAGTAGCACGATTTCAATTGATCTACTGTAGACATGAATCCCATGAAAACAGCCAGACCTGCACTGTCTTCTGGTCCTGGTTGTGCAAAGAGTGTTTATCCAGTAAATCAATACCTGTGCCCTCCCCTGCCTTTTTTGGAGTATTAAAATACTCCAAATGACTTCCAGGAAGTCAGGCCTGATAGCAAAGATTTGATCCTCCTAGAAGTAAATTATTAATTTATCTCAAGCATAAAACACGCTTTTGGTGAATCTTTAGGTTTCACCAGTCATCTGGCTCTGTTTTGTTCTTTTGGTGAAAATATCCGACTTCTTTGACTTCTTCCCTTCTTTTGTTCAATGGAACCAAGCAGTACTTTGTTGTAGTGACGTCACTACATTAATTATGCTTGCGGCTGGCAAGCCAATATGGCGACAAGAAAGCCTCTTCATGGCAGTCATAGTTTTGATACCGAATCGTGCGAGGGGGGAAGAGAATTGTTCGAAGCTTGTAGGAATGGTGACGTTACAAAAGTTCGACGAATAGTGAACGTCAATTCTAATGTGAATCTCAGAGATACCGCCGGCAGAAAGTCATCTCCGCTTCACTTTGCAGCAGGTAAGCCAAGGAAATAAAAACAAACACAAACGGCGCCCTTGATGTCAACATTTTTAGAGAAAGTCACTCGTTTTTCTCAGGAACAGAACTTCCACTTTTACCTCTTTTGAATTTGAAATTTTCTTCTCTGTTGAACCTTAGTAAATTGAAAGGTGCTCGAGTTGTCTAAATTGAATTTCACTGCAGATGTCAAGTGTGTTGACAAAGTTCACCATTTCCTCGATTACTGAAGAGCTTCAAGCTTATCCTTTTCATTGATTCTGCCTTTCTGTGTTACTTTTAACTCTTCATTATTAGCCTTTTCACCGAGAGGATAGCTGTGAATTTTTTCCCATTTCGGTGTAAAAGAATCTCACCTTTTTGAAGCCATTACGAATAGCACTGCGTGATGGCTAAAATTTTACGAAATCCTCAAATGTTTTCGTGAGCTGGTCGCCTTTCAGAAGTTTACGTCGCAACCGTTTAACTTTTGTTAACGTTTCGTTAGTTGTATGACACTTTTCAGATCATTGTAAACCTCCTCCATTCCATTTCAATGTATGCAAGCACTTTTTAAAGCACCACAATTTATTACGGCAACTATTGATTGTGAGTTCAAAACACGAGACATACAATACATGCTATCCCGCTAAGCATGGCTGAATGAACAGAACAACAGATTCTTGAATTATTTGATCTATAAACGTCTAATTTATTGGTTTAATAGCCTTGAAAGCCTTGGAAGTCCTGACAATGAAGTACTGTAGTGTTTTTGTGGACATTTTAAAAGCCTTGTTAACTGTTAATACAACGGATTTTTCTTCTTACTGATCAGGATTTGGTAGAAAAGAAGTTGTAGAATACTTGTTGCAATATGGAGCTGATGTTCATGCAAAAGATGATGGTGGGTTTTTCATGTTTGTTTTATTTTTCAATATAATTGCCACCCCATTCTAAAAATCCTTGACAGTGATTCCTCGGGTTGGGGGAACCCTTACCCAATTACCCTGTACCAGACCATGTTTAGCTACATTTTGAAACCTCCTCTTTTCTAGATGTCCTCCACCCAACTATATTCCCACGCTGCGCTAGTGTTACTATTTTCCAGAAAGTTAATCACTATCAGTAATGGCCCTTTACTCATAAGCAACAATAATGATATGTGTTACTGTAAATTTAATATCTACAAGATTCTCTCAAATCTTGGTGTTATTTCATAGTCTAAACTTAAGTCTTTATATCAATGATAAGTTTCCTGCTAAATGGTACAGTCAAACCTTTCCACAGTGGTGACATGGGAACAGAGGAAATTGTCCACTGTAGAGAGGTGGCCATTATGGGGAGGAAGGGGTGTAGCATGACACCTGTTTCTTTTTCAGGACTGCAACATTTCTTTTCTTAAAATATACTCTTTTAGCATAAAAACTTATGTAACACAATCAAAATATGATTTTTTCAGGCTTCTTCTTTCCAGTTACTTAAATTGGAAAATTAACTGCGACGATCATTCTTCACTTTCACCTATAACCGCAGTTCATATATGAA